CAGAAGTAACCTGCTCTGTCTTGTCTGTCGGTGTGTTGTCAGTTTTCTCTTTGCTCTGCGATGTATCTTTCACTGCGTGAGAAGATGGTGTGTAGCGTGCGAGCGGCAATAGCCTTGTCCAAATACACACACTTGCGGTCTTTGCACTTGACCACTTGACTACTTATGACGTATTTCCTGTATTTGGCCCAAGTGTTCAAGTGAGGATGAAGACCACAAGTGTGTGTAGAACTTTTAATTACTTGATGGGACACACTTGTAGTGTTGTAAAAATGCAAGTGTTTACATAGCTTTATTTTAATTTTAATTTTAATTACTTTGCATTTTAAAATCAACTTCTAAATGTCTGTTCAGTAGTCCCTATAACATGACATAATTTTAATTTGTGGTGCTTCTAATTAAGTGATAAAAAGCTATTGCAAATGTGGTTCAAAATAAATATCACCACTACTCATCTTTGCACCAATAATACGTAAAAACACTTTTTCTATCAAATTATATGTAATATCTAATTATTATATTAATATTTAACTGGCATTGGAAAGGTTTCCGCGAGATCTCGGCAAAAAGTCTCACGATTTATTTCCAGAACATGATGCATGATGGGATACACTAAGCCTCGAATAGCGCTCCGGAGCGGTATTCGAGATAGTGTGGATTCAGTGTGCTTTAAGGGCACTGCGCTTTGCCGTTTTTAAGACCTGGGACAGTCTTGCGCACTTACTTCCTGTCGCGCGTGCGCGCTCTCAAGTGGCCAAGACCGCAAGTGTGGGTATTTGGACAAGGGGAATGTTTATCAGAGATGGCAACAGTAACTAATTGCAGTACCTTAATTGCGAACGGTCAATTAAGTGAAAATTAATGGCAGGTAATATCAAAGACTATAGAATACCCAAGACGTGTCACTGGTATAGCTTTGAATGGGGAAAAATGCAACGCTCAATATGGCCGCTCAATCGCAGGAAACCCCGCCTTCTGAATGAAGGAGCCAATCGCTAATCGGTAAAGTCAGCGCGTCACTGCAG